GGAGGCATTCTGATCGCTGCCACTGCTGATAGCGGCGCGAAGGTCCACGTGCTTGAGCGCCTCGCGCATTATGGGGTCCTCCACGTCCTCAACGTACATAAACTTCACTGCATCGCCTCTCACGGTTGCCAGCCATGCGTTTGTGACGTTGGCAAGTGGTTGACCCCAGCTGTTTGCAACAACCAACAGTTGCTCTGCCCTTAAATCCGGGTCCACAAGCATCACACGTATGCCACTTTCAGCCGGGCTGTACCACTGAATGCTCGCAATGTCATCCGTGAACATCGTTGAGTACATGTAGCCAACACCGGTGCTGCCGTCCTCATACACCTCAAAGAATGGGTAGACAAACACAACATAGTTTGGCGGGTGGCGCGGCGTCACCCAATATTGCTCTGACAGCATCGGCTCACCCTTTTCCACCGCAGCCTTCCATATCTCGACCACCTTCTCGAAGCGCTGGGATTTGGTAAAGCCATCGATGCTCATGGGGTGATCGATTTCTCCCAGGGGTTCCAGTGGGGTTTTGTACTCCAGTGTCACGGGGTCAACGTAGTAGAAGCCCTTAATGACACCATTGCGACTCATTGTGCCCACAAAGTTGCCAGGGCGTGAACGAGAGTTAAAGCACACGGCAGCCTGTTGTCTCGTCAGCGAAACGGCGCCGAGAGAAGAGACCATCTTAGCAGGATCCATGTCGCGAAGAACAGCACAGAGACGCGACATCATGCCGCCTTCCAGCGGCATCAGTATGTCAGCCCGAGGGTTGGGGAAGGTGTTCTTAGAAAAGTACATGCTTCCTGTCGACACCGCCATGCGTACCATCTTTGTCAACGTTAAATACCCCACGGACTCCTCTATGTTGTCCAACACCACGTCATGCAGGGACAAAAAGACGCTTTCTGAGCTGCTTTTCGACGTTGCAAACGACAACGACATCGTAACTGCGGCCACCACCAATAAAATCACCACGAGAGGGCAAATCACCCAGCAGCGGAGAGAAAGTTCAAATTTTCTCATTAAGCGCGGAGAGTGATGACGGTTGGTGATAACAGGCTCCCCGTACGGCTTCACAGGGGAAAAAGGTGTGTTAGTTGATCCATGCGCCTTCTGTTGCCGACCTTTCAATTTTGGGTTTCGGAAGCGCATAAAAAGGGGCAATGACCCTACACCTGTATCCGGGTGCCTGACACTCGACCTGAATTCCTCAAAAGGCATGACCCCGCTGTCACCGCCCGTTTCTGCTGCATGAAGGACTTCTGGAGTGCCGACAGTGGTGCTGGTGCATCGCTGATGCGCTGAGTAGGGTGGGGCACCGGCGTCTTCCACGCCCCCCGTGTCCTGCTTGTCGGGCCGCACGCCTTCTCTTGCCGCAGAAGAGGGCTGAGACCCCATGTCAAATAAAATTTGATCGTTGCACTCCTGCGGTTGGGATTGAGAAAACAATGTCTCTCGGTCGCCGTGCATGACTGCTCCGCGGCTAGGTTTTCCAGGCACGCTCACATGCACGCGCTCAGCGACATCTTGCGGCTGTGGTGGATTCAAGGCATTAATTCCACTGTTCCTCCAGACTTCGTCGGCAACAATGGATGCTTGCTGAGTGGTAAGCGGATTGTGCTGGTCACCTGACGGGGCCCTCTCCGTGCTGCTGTTGGTGTCGTTGTCTCCCACACCGGCCATCCCTTACAGCCGTTCTTGCCTGGATTGCACTGAAACGTCACTGCGCAAACTGAGTAAGAGAAGAGGGAAAGAGAAGTGGGAACGCAGTACCGTTGGAACGAAGAAACGTGTCCACGAGAGTTTGCACCGTCACGGGTGGGACGCGTCGTCTAACGATTGCGTGCAGAATACCCGGACGTGTGCGTCAGCCTCTCCAGTTTCCCCGCTGTAACAAACAAAAAAAAGCACGCACACGCATTTGCGGCAAATTAAAAAAAAAAGGAAATTGGTTACAGAAATACACAAACATCACTCGTAAAAGCTAAAAATTATCCTCCGACCAAATACATTCGCATGGACAATACCCCTCGCCGAGGCCTTGCCCCTTCTTAGCACAAAAAGAAAAAACAAAAAAAGACAACACTTGAGTTCGGTGTGTCCGGCATCAAGATCGGATTACGTCTGCCCAACGCCAAAACACCAGCGGACACGTTATTTCATAGAACAATCCGTACCAGCCGGGCTTTTTCCAAAGGATTTTGAAAGCGACGCGGGGCCAATACCACCAACCGCCGGGAAAGGCCAGGTTCACGACCATTCGAGGGGATTCCGTCAATGCGAAGCCAAAGTACGCCGGCGCACCAAGATCACCGCCCATCCCGACCCATCCCATGGGGCTCGCGAGCGCCTCCTGAACATGTGCGGATTCCTGTCCCCAGTCACCGGGCTCCTGCGCAGCAGCAGCAGCTCCAGAGCCTGCAAGCCCCACTCTGAGAACGAGAGACCCATTTAGCCGCGTCGTGAATGCGGAACCCGGGGCTTCCCCCCATCCCCCGACAATTCCCGGCTCGGCACGTCGTTGGCGGAGCCCTGGGCAAGTGGAGGAACGCATGCATTCGGGAGCTCACGGTCACCACCATCGTCCCCGCCGCCGTCGCAAAAAACGAGGATGCTAGAAGCTTCCCACGGGACAGGGCGACGCTTGGACACCAGGGAGTTGCCACCCCGCGGTTGGGAGGTGAACTCGGGCGGCGCTGGCTTCTCCAAGCCTCTCCCTCGTCAACAGCCGCGTCTCCTTTTCCCGAAAGTCCTTCACTTCTCGCGGAGAGCTCTTCCGCGAGGGTCGCACGGAGTCCCTCTTCTCCTGAGCCGCCAGCTGCGCATTGAAAAGAGCGCAAAGATGCTGGTGGTCCCCGGCGACCTGGGCATGGTCGCGCTGAGAGTTCAGATTTTCAGCGGTCAAAATGCCCCGCCTTTGTCCAATCGCCCTCGCCGTGTTCATGCGTGGTGAGAGATGACTCCCCCAAAAACTGTTGCCAGCCCGGGACGTGCATGCCCGCCGCGTCTCCACACATCGTGTCATCGTGCTGCTCTTTATCATCTGCACCATTCGATACGACAAGTTCAAACCCGTTTATCGAGACACACCTTGAGAAACAATATACGTGAAGGTCACACGCGTCAGAGCGTGTTGGAATACGTGCTCTGCAATGCGGGCTCCAAAAATCCTTCAATTCTTGGGATATCCAAAGAAGCAATAGTCATTTTAAAATAGGTGAACAACAACAACAACAACAAAAAACGACAATTATCCTCGCGAATGTGCGCTCAGATAAGGCCTAATCCTATATTTCATAAAGTAAAGAGAAAAAAAAAAAAAAAGAAAAAAAAAGCCTAAAGGGTTTAGTTGATTGCTCCAAACATTTCCAAAACTCAAAAAAAAAAAAAAAAGATCTATACAACACCCACATACACAAATAAAATCATTCGTTCAAAGTTCCATGTGCCAATAACTGAGGCTGTTGTGTAGAGACACAATGTGGCAGTCTCTTTTTATTGCCCCGCAACCCCCAGACCCCTCCGCATGGAAGACAGTAAAGGGTGACTGGGATAGAAAAAAGAAACACTTCTCGCTGCCTTCCAACGCGTCCATTTAAAATCAAAAGCAACAAAAACAACAACAAAACAGAATTGGTCAATAAAGAAGACAAGGTATATATATATATATACATATATAAAACAAGCCGCTCTCCTTTCATGTTATTTATTTATTTATTTTATTCCTTCCTTTTTAACTCATCCGGACACACGTTCCATCCACAAGGTTCTTTATTATTAAAAAAAAAGAAAAAATCAAAAAAAGAAACAAAACAAAACACAAACACACACGACGTTCAAGCATTTTTCCCCTTTACTTTCCAACCCTAACGTTTCCATATTACACACCATTACCTTCCCTTACTCATTCATAAATTTTCTTTACTGCATGCTACTCAGAAGCTGCAAAAGTTCAGAAGCTGTTTTACGTCCCTCGGGATCCGTCACCAAACAGCTTTGCAGCACCTCTTGAATAAGTGCGTCCCCCTCACGTGGGATTTCCACTAACGAAATTTTCCTTTCCATTTGAGCCACTTTCATTCGATCATAATCTGAAAGAATCGCAGTAAGCTCCACAAGAGTTTTCTTCGTGTTTTGTTGCCGGATGTTGTCATCCTCCGCGGGAGAAATATTCTGCAACGGTCTTGTTATCGTCCCCTCCATCCAGCGCCATGGCGTTTGGTTTGTTATCAACTCCAGCAAAATAACACCCACAGCGTAAATGTCTGCAGCAGCACCTTTTTTTCCGGTGGTAAATACTTCTGGACTGCTATACGCCCATCTATTAAGGCAAGATTCTGCCCGCAGTCTTTCTTCTGTCATGGCTGCTGCTGCTTCTGCTGTGCAAGCCATACTGACTCCCCGTAATTTATACAGGCCTTCCACAGCAGCCATAACATCCTCTGGTCGAAGATTACCGTGTACAAGACCACGATTATGTAAGTATTCCAACCCGCGCAATATACCTACCAAAAAACGCTTTATCGCCATGAGTGGCAAGGCACGACCGTACCGTCGTACGGTGTCACGCAGTGTTCCACCTGGAACATATTCCATGATCAAACACATGTGTTCCTTTGTTTGACCGTAACCAAGAAGCTGCACAAGGTTCTCATGATAAAGCGTCTGTGCACGTGTCAAGGCGAGATCAAGAGAATCCATGTCATTATATCCGCAGTCTGGAAGCGATGAGACGGGGAGGAATTTAAGTGCTGCAAGAGTGCCCGTATCACTGATTCCTAAAAAGACGGGAAACCGACCGGACTCAGGGAAATTTTCAGACGCCCGCTTCCACCGTACATTCTTTTTGTCCCAGAACTCATGCGCGATGGCTTGTCCCGCCGACGAGACGTGTGTTGAAGAGGCACTGGTTGAGAGAGCGCTCGGTGTGAGTCGTCGCCGGGATCCGCAAAAGGTGAGTGAGGGAGGATGCAACCCTGACACGATGCTTTCACTATGGTCAACGGAAGCAGGTGAAAACTTTGATGTCAGGGTGTCCACATGGTCCGAGCCACCCACGCGCCACCCCGATGGAAACCGACTGCGCTTCTTTACATCGCATTGTTGAACTTGCGCTATTTGACAGCGGAGAAGACGCATGAGCTGAGGCGTAACATATGGGGATGCGACAAGACTTTCAAAACACATACGTGCCTCAGTGCATGCCTGAGCCGTAAGATAACGAAATCCATTCAAATATGTCTCCTCCACGCATTGCCATGATCCCTCATTCACAATGTCCTCAATGACAATGTGAAACGTTACTTTTGATGACATGTCTGCTGAATCGACAAGAACCGATGCAAACGGAAGCACATGAACACGCGAACGAATAAAAGGTACGGTATTCTGAAGAATAGCAAGAGAAACACCGTAGCGACGCTGCACATGAATCAGCTCCGTACTGGTTGCCCTGCCCCATAGCACCGGTTCCTTCTTTTCCGGGCCACCGCAGATGCCAAAATGAAAGACACCACTGTCAACAAGAATAGCACAGCAACGCCTTACTGCATCGGGGAGGTTGCGGTGAATTTCAATAGCACAAAAGGTTGCATCCAACTTATCTAAATGACTATCCCCACGACAAGGAAAATTCAAATTGAAAAGTTCTGGTAAAAATACATCCACACCACCTCCGTACTTTCTGGCCGCCTCCACCACAATATTTGCCGTTTCGCCTGTGTGTTCCAGAATAGTTTTAATATCCAAAATGTGCACAGAAACCACAGAGCACATGATTTCCTCAAAAACATTAATATTTTCTCGTGGACCTTGAAGCAAACTTCTCGCAATATCCATACCTTTTCCGCACATGAGATTTGGGCTAGATGCTTGTGCTCCTTCCACACTATCCCTCATATCCGCATCTCTTGTTTCACTCTGAATACCGCCATCCATGTATTTTGCTTTCCGTTCTTCATCCGTTGCATACCGTAACGGCAAAACCCCCTCTGGTAAGAATGAACGTAAATGGCGCATTTGATTCTTCAGTGAAGCAGCCACACTCTGCAGCTTGTCTATCTCCAGCAATGCAAAGCGAATTCCGCGGATACGGGGGGTATTAATAGATGTTCTGGCTAAAGTAACATCCACCTTGGCGGTCACACGAAGCTCTGCCGCTATACTGTGCAGCGGGCGACTGACTAAAGTGGAAAAAACAAAATAAACCAGTAAAGTCGCCCCGATTGTACTGATAAATGCACCAATAAGACTAACGACATGAAGGATTTCAAAACGTTCACCATAAAACGGAGGTGCCACAACAGCTAAGACCATCGTGGCATTAAGCTCTGACTGTGTCAAACAGACACTAAAGGTCCCGACTGACCCATCATAAGGAAATGTAGTAAAGAATTTTCTCCCACTGCGTACTATTGACATGACTTCATTCATGTTTACATGAAGAAACGCCTCTCGCATTAACGGATCTTTAATGTTCCCTACCTTCGGTGAAGGAACCATGTATTCGCCTGCTTTTCCAATAGTACGGACCCCGCCGTTACCACCTTGAGTAAAAACAAATTCAAATTCACCTTCTCCACTTTCCCCCTGCCACTTCACATTAAAATTGGTTGCAATCACCGTCATATTACTGTCGTTCCCATCATTCTCAAGCAATGCAACTCGAACCAGACTAATTGGGTCACTTTCTTCCATGAAGATTTTACCAAGGACCCGCCTAAGGTCAAGTGCAACTTTTAAAAAAGAAACTGTACCGTCCTTCTCAAAAAATGGATACGTGTATACATAACGTGGGCTAAGAAAATTTTCCACGTTCCACATTTGCATCCTGGGTTCATTTCCCGCAATTACATCCTTCTTCCAAGAATCAATCAACTTTTTTGTAGGAGTAAAATTATATATAAGATCTTTAAGTAGAAAAGGCTTGCTGAACTTTTTCAACACCAGCTGCGGTTCCACAAGAGTCACATTCTCAGGATCAACAGCAACAAGTGCATTCAATGCACCATCACTTTTCCGTCGCACAGCTGTAGCAAAATAATACCCATGAAATCCCCTTGCGCAATGTGCAATTTCATCACGGGGTAAAGACGCCATATAAATAAATGTCAGAAACTTATAACGATCCATGTTGTGTAATGCAGCACAAAAACGTTGTGACATCTCAAAACCCATGGGTATCACATCATCATTCGGACGTGGATTTCTCTCGTCTACAACGTACAGTGCAACAAAAACACTTGATAATAGCGTAGGGACATTAAGTGCACCCTCTAACTGTGAATTGATCTCAAGCCGTGCATGTTCATGAAACTCTTCAACAGATTCTCGGATGATAACAGTTGTCACATAATATGGCGTTAACAGACAGAACAAAGACAAGCACATAAGAACCAGAAAATAAGGTATTAATACTGAAGATAACGGCAATTCTTGAAAACAACAGTAAAAATGTTTCTTTCGTAATTTCCTCCGACCTGTTTCCTCTTGCTCTCGTGGAATCGGAGACATTTCATAACCCAAGGTGTTTATACTTTCCAAATGCGGACTACGAGGGGGGACAGATGCCCTACTTGAGTTTTCATGTTGTGAGGGCAACAAACTAATGCCAAGACACTCAAATGATGCTTCATCATTACAACACTCTGTTGTCCTTAAGTTTAATGCCTGAGCAGCTGTCTTCTTACTAGTTTCAGCAACATCCGCCGTCTTTTTAGCACAATCACTCAAAGCAAGTGTCAAATCCGATTGTTTCATACAGAAAGGCTTTAGCCCATGCGTCATACACGTCAATTTTTGGTTTTCTCTCTTAGAATTTTTTCTTTTCACTACGCAGTGCTCTTCCGTGTCGTGCAATTTACCGGTTTCCCGATCTCGTATTCTTGGTGCTGTAATCCCAGAGAGACTACCAAGACTTGTGTGTGGGTCATTTGACATCGGCGGCATAAACACAGACGAATCTCCCTTCTTTGGGCCACCATAAGATTGATTTAAGCTTCCTTCACGATGATAAGGATAATGACATAACAACTCCTTTTCCGTATGTTCCTCTGAAAGCACCGAAGGCAATGCAAATGAATTCGTGTGACATTCCTTTCCTCTAAAAAGATGATCAGAGGCGGAAAGCGGATCAATATGTCGTGTTTTTGCAGCCGATGTCACTTTATCTTCCGACCGCCGTGGAACCCGCACCGTGGATGGCATCACGGAACTCGTGTTGTCTACATTGCTTGAGCTCTGCAATGAGACCGGCGTGTCAACCACAATCCGCTGTGTTTCTTGGGTCCGAGATAATGCATCCCGCCCATCGACGTTCTCCCCTGGTATCACCGTACCACCATGATTGGCTGCCACTGAGCTTTCCTCCAGTTGCTTCCGCATATGTTTCTCTCCTCTTTTTTCTTTCCCCATTCGATCTCTCTGCCTCTCCCCCGCTTTAAAAAAAAAAAAAAAAAAAAAAAAATTACTATTTTTTTTTTTCTTCTTTTTTTCCGTTTCTTAAATTTTCTCTCGGCAAAGATGGACACGCTCAGTCAACGCACAAAAACAACAAAATTTGTGTCTCAACGCGTGTAAAATAAAATATTTTTTTTTTTTTTTAATATTGCGGTGGGAAGAGGAGGAGGAGGGGGAGGAAACAAATGAGGGCGCAGGGGTGTGTGTACGGTGGTGGAATGCGGATAGGCCCAACCAACAAATATGTCTATCGGGAAAAACACACAAATTTAATTAATTAATTAATTAATATCAATTACTTTATAGTAATAATAAGCAGAAGGAACTATAAGCATACAATAAGTTTTGGCGAAATACTCAAACTACTTGGTTATTTCTTTTGCCTGGAAAACAGCAAGAAAAAAAAAAGAAAAAAAAAAAAAGAAAAGGAAGAAAAAACAAAAAACAAAAACACACACACACACAGAAAGAGAAGGAGAAAACAACAACAACAACAACAACAGGGAATAAGTCCTTTTAATTATTTATATCTACTTGTATTTATATATAAATATGTGTGTGTGTGTCTGTGTGTGTAAAGTCTCTTTCACTGTGTGTCTGTATCGGAGTTAGTGATTGTATGGATTGAGTGTATTGCCCTAACTAGAATTATTGCGCCCAATGTAATAATGTATCTATGTATGTATGTATGTATGTAAGTATTTAGATAATCCCGTATGCCACCACAACTAACCAGAAAAGAAGGAAAAAAAAAAAAAAAAGAAAAGAAACACAAATCATACAGCCAAAAGGAAAATACACAGACACAGACACGGACACAGACAAAAAAGGATGTCCATTTCAAAATTTGAATGCTACAAATTATTTAATTACAAGAGTTTAACCATGCATGTTAAATGTATGCGTATGCCGCCCCTGACAGAACAGCGATGTCAATTCGCACACACGCAATGGAAAGAGTGTGTGAAAACAGCGGACTCAAAAAAATACAAGAGTCAAACAGAAAAAAAAAAAAAAAAAAAAATTGTTGTCTTCCCCGCCACCTTTTTTTTTTTTTTTTCGTTGTTATTGTTGCTTAGAGAACTCAACGGTGCGTAAAATGATTGGCGTGTGCCTTCAAAAATAGGGAGAGGGAGAGAGAGAGAGAGAAGGAGAGACGCCTAGCCGCCTCTTCCTTTAGAAATCCCCTGCATGATAGCCAACAGCGTCACAGACGAAATCGCCACATCGCTCTTTTCAGTACCGTCTGACCTCATTTCACTGGGGAGAAGGAACATCTGCTGCTGCTGCTGAAGAATATGTAGCGTTAGCCGCCAAAAACCGGGAGGCCCACAGCCATGTTGTACACCTTCGCTAGGGCTCTGCTCCCCATGCCTGTAATGACGCTGACGTGCAGCCTCCATGGCATCGAGGAGGCGCTTAAGAAGAAAACAGTCCACCACCACATGACGGGAAAAAAAATGTGATGCGTCGTTCTTCTTGAAAGCATCATCGGCAACCTCCCTACTTCGGGCGGGTTGGGATGTGTGCAGCGTGCAGGTGGACGGGGTTCCGGCGAGTGAGACGTGGCGGCTGGCGGTATTCCACTGGCCGCCTCGACAAAAAATTTCAATCAACGCCTCAAATGGCACAGAGAGATCGGCGTTCGGCTGCGCATTGCGTATGAAAATATCAAATAGCTTCAATGCCTGTTCCCACGCCACGTTCTGTGCCACCGAATCAGACGCCCCCTCCTCATTCTCTTCTTCTTCTTTTTCTTGCGACCGGATGGCCCCGTCGTCATCCTCCTCGTCTTCCTCTTCCTCGTGAGCAATCTTGTGGTCGTCTTTTGTCTCGGCTGCGGCAAGATGTTTCGGGAGCAGCAGACCGTGCAGCATGATCGCGTCGGGTGGTGTAAAGTGCTGCCGCACCAATTTATACGTCCTTGAAACGGAGCGCAACACTACCGAAGTTGGCACCTCCTCGTTTGCCGCAGCGTGACGCGGAGAACTAATCATCGTCATCTTCTTTGGATCCGAGCCGCCAGTGTGATAAATTTCCCAAAGTGTCGACTGCTCTGCAACGATGAGAGTCAACATGTACCGAAGCGGAGGAGAAATAAGCTTTGTGTTCTGCATAATGTGGCTCAATGACTGCAAAGATTTCGCGGTGGGTGACATACCAGCCGTGACGGCCGCACACATGCGGCAGAGCAGTGCGTTGGATAGATGCATCACATGGTGAAGTGACGCCTGCTTTTCCACAAATCGCAGCGCCGCCTCAGCGTTGCCGCGTAGCGCACATAACGTTGCGGGTGTGGGAATTTCCCCACCATCATTATCATCATCGTCATTACCATTATTTTGGTGCTTGGAGACTCGAGAGACGAAGCGGTACAACTTCATTGACGCCGAAGAGGTGTGTGCATCCACGACTGGCATCCCGTCATTGCAAGGCGCCACAAAAGCACTAAACAGTAAGCGCCTCACATCTCCTGCATCGCAGTGGGGTAGATTTTTTTTTGTCGTAGTGAGCTCTGATAGGAGTTGCTTCGGTACAGTGCAAAGAAGCAGCGCAATGGCTTCCATAACGTCCCCATCGCAACACGGTACACGACTGAACTCACTCACCCAACGAATAAAGGCGGCAAACATCTGAAGTCCCTCTACGCCTTCACTCTTCGTTAGACGATGCCGACGCACGGCGTCAGGCAGACGCAACGCCGCATCTGTGACAAGACGTAACATTAAAATGGAGACAGCAAAGCCCATATCATCCGGTGCGTGAGATACGGAGGATGCGTGCGTGGCATGACTGCCATCGCCGCGACTTTCGGTTTTCCTATGTCGGCGATTGCTCAGAGGCGGAAGAAGTGTCAGTGCCTGCGCGTACTGCAACGCTAAAAGGGGGGAGACCGTTGGAACAGAAAAGAGACGGAGCGACTGCTCGATCGAGTAAGTGTTTGGTAAACAACCATCCTGCAGTCGTGCAAAGTACAGCCCCATCACTGCATCACCCATCGCCGTGTTGAAAGCCACTGCCCCAGTATTATCCATGTTGTACTTCCCTAAAAGATGTAACATGCGGTGATAGTGCAAATGCTGTAAACGGACCCCAACCTCACGTTTCGCTTGACTCAAACGCAATGCCTGCGCCCAATCTTCCACCGCCTCTAGAGCATGTAAACAACGGACTTGCTCCATAGCTTCTTCCGCCGGTGAAAGTGTTCTCTGTCGCTGTACTGTGGTTGGCGCAAAACCGGTTATTGCCTCATACTCAGACCGCCATGCAGCTCCTTTCCCATGTATACACGCCATCTTCACCAGTGCCTTGGCATCCTCTGAAAGTGGCACCGTTTGGGCTCGCACCGCAACATCACAAATAGACCTCATGGCCGCTACGCCACCATCTGCCACAAGACTCGCACAACAGAGAAATATCTCCAGCTGTGTCATGGCTCTCAGCTGCTGTGTGTTTGTGTGGGCAAATAAATGGCGCCGTAAGCTCTCATCCGCAGTGATAAGTCCCAATGCAGTGCACCAAAGTCCATTGCATGCATTTTCTAAACTCGTCAATGCAGGAGTTGGATACTTTCGTAACAAAGAAAGTTCCTCAAAAGAGTCTCGCACGGTATCCATGCAGGCATCAAGGACATTGCTGCAACGTTGAGCTGATGGTAAAGCTGTAATGATTTGTTGAACGAGTGACCGCCACGCCTCTAGTGCCGCAGCAGGCGTAACAGACGGTCCGGGTGTTACAGTAAGAGACCGAATCATGCTACAAACTAAATCCATACGTCCATCCAGCACGGTGTCCTGCACAGTAGATTGTCTTTTCTCCTGGTGTTGCTGCAATAACAATGCCAGTCCGTCCCCGATAAATTGATTAATTTCATCAAGTTCTCCAAGTACAGCTTGTACCTCCCCTGAGTCCATTTCCGCGGCATTCTGAAGACGATGCATCGTATGCCGCTTCATCGTACATATTGACTGGCAAAGAAGCAGCATTGCATTCAAAAACGGTGAGGCCACACCACTTTTAGGATTTGATAAGTTTAGATGAAAAAAAACATTGCGAGCTGCCGGGATCACAACACGGAGGAAACCGCTGGCGGTGATGAGTTTTACAAGCCGTGCTATATGTGCACCACTGATGTATGTATGCCCAACATATGATCGCGAAGTGGCATACGCCGCCAATGCTAACACCCATGCGTGGCTTTCGGTGCCAATACGAAACAATGAGCGGTCCCGCCACTCCACAATGGGGTGATGACCATTACTGCCATTATTCACCGTCGTATCCATAAGTGTGCGACAGTATTTGTAACCCTCTTCAATTGCAGCATTATACGAGGCCGTGCAGCGTAAAAAACTCCACCACTCCATATCCTTATTGTCGCACTCAACAGCTTTTCTCTCAACACCGGAATCCCTCATCAGATGCTGCTCACGCTGTAAAAGAAATTCGCACAATTCCGATGCAACGCCAGAAAACGTCCCTGAAAATATCTTTACAAATAAACACGCCAACTCGCGCTCACGTTGCAGTATGTTTATCAATGATTCCTTCGTATTCGTACCATCATCATCATCATCATTATTATTATTATTAAATTGACTAGTGTCATGGGTCACTTTCGCGTGCAGCATGTCACGTACAGCATCAGCAAGAATTTGAATTTCATCACCAGGCTTCCCTGCGTGACCACCGACAATATCCCGGTGAACCCACCGTAGAGTCGCCACAAGTGAGTCTTGGGATTGCATGAGGGCCGTTACTCGCCTTATCCACGTCGCCGCAATCCAAATCCCTGTTCTCCTCGCGCTAAAGCTAATCCCTTTCGTCGAGTTCGCCGCAGTTTCAAAAGCAATCATTCCCTGCTCCAGTAAACCATTGGGAACATGTCGTAAGAGGGATGCCTCCTCAGTGTGATAAACTTCTTCCTCGAGTAACTTCGTCAAGGCACAATTGTTCCCTTCAGAGCAATTTTCCTCCAACTTTTTCGCCCCCGATTCCAACTCATCTTCCGGGTGAATATACGCATCGTAAAAGAGAACAACAGTCCTGTGATGCGCGTATTTCATCAAACGGGCGCAGGCATCATAAAATTCACGCGTTCGTAGCAGTGTTGGGGTCTGTCGAACCAACGCTGCGGCATCCACGTAGTGACCATTAAGTAATAAATCTCGCATGAGAGACACGCGCTCCCTCAAAACCCCTGCGGATTGCTCCCGCAAGATATCGTCCAAAGTTTTCCCTACAAGTGTGCCGTTAAGTAACAACAACACCTCGGAGAGACCGCCACTTCGACTCGGAGCCACAACGACTGAGGCAGCGTGATTCACCCATTCCAACACCTCTCGTCCGCTCACGCGATAATGTTGTTGTGCCGCCTCCACAAAACGTAGAAGTGACTCATATGACTGTTTTTTGTACAGACGCTCAATGACTGCGGTGGTAAATTTACATTTTGCTTGATTAAAAACCCATTGGACCTCATTTTCCTCCATACTGTTGTTTCTGGGGCTCCCGCTGTTAATTTCCTTTGAATTTTTTTGTACAAGGGCCTTTTCCAACACGCACAGGGATTCCAACAGTGCGAGAGCGTCCACCCACCGAAGATGCGGATGGCGTTGCAAACGGTCCGTAAAGGCCTCCACAACCTTGGAACGGTTGACTCGCCCCGTCAGAAGCTCCGGCGCTGCGGCAGCTGACTGGCGTTTTGCTACAACTTGCATGTAAAAGACCAGCGATTTTACGGGAATTTCCGTCACATCACACACCTCGACAAGGTATTTTAATGTGTGAAATAACACCGCCTCCGGGGAGGGCCACCATGACAGGGATGGGAATGCGGCAATGGGAAGACGTAATGTTAAATGCAGCGCAAGACTCCATGCGTGAGGCGGCTGAACAATATGAAGTGCCCGCAATGCGCATGCGGTCCCGTGATGCATGAGTTCCGTGTCAAGGCCTTTTTGTTCCTTAGCAGAGATGAGCTGCGGCACAATGATGGAAAGTGCATGCTGCCATATTTGACGCACACTATCATTCTTCTTGCTTGCTGCCGTGAGCAGTTGTGACATCAACGCCACATAAAACCGGAAACGCTTAATGTCTGTAACCATCTCTTTGCTTCCCTCATGAGGATCCGGTAGAAATTTCAACGCCCGACGCCATGGAACGACACTCATTTTGGCCCGTGTCGAGTCTGCCTCCATCATACGCAGTAATTGAACCGTAAAGCCACCACCGCCATGTATGCCAGGGGTCGCGCTTTCATCAAGTACCCCCGACTCATGCGGAATCAAAGTGTCAAGCATCCTTCCAAGCCGAAGAAATGGCGGGTCATAGTGCGACCTCCGGTGACCCTGCATTAGAAACGCGAGACACCCACGCTGCAACAGACGCAACGATTCATCCTTCAACGATGATAATGCGGTTTGAAGAGGTGCCCATGACACTTGATTGGCTTCCAGGGCGCAGCGCCACAACAGCCACTCCTCTTGTGGTAGTTGCGTCGCTTTATTCGAAGACCATGGAAGGGGATAATGAATCGTTTTGATCGCATGCACATCCCCCGCATCTTTTTGGGTATCTGACGTCGCATTCATTGTAGCAAGAACAGCATAAAGTTCACACAACAGCGCCACAGCGGTTGGTGTGTTAAGTTGGACGTACTGAAAGCGGCAAAGCACAAGGTAAAAAGTGCTCTCACACAATGCCTTTTCTTCCTTCTTTGTTTCATCTACTTCGGTGGAAAAAGCTGCAGCATTAAATTTTTGACGCAGCAGCACAAGAAGTAACATCAGTACCTTTTCCAACATGAGGGTTGGTACAACCATGTAAGGTGCAATCGTCGTAAAGAGTTTTAGGCCATGACGTGCCGCATGTAACGCTTCCATGGGGGGATTGGCAGAATCCGCCGCGGCGGTAGTGACAGCAGCGTCTAAGAGCTCAAGGATGAGTTCATGTGATGGCAGGACGGCCGTGCTCCACAGCGCCTCCTGCACCATCGATGTCGTCTGCGTGAATAGCGGCATGGGAGACGCTGATAACAGATCGTCACCTTTGAGAAGTAAAACATCTGATACGCCACCCCCGTGTCTGTGTGCACTGAGAAGGTTCCGGAGCCGACGATGAAGATCCGATGCCTTTTCCTGCCGCTTCTTCTTCGTTTGTTGGTGGTGCCAATTACCAGTAAAGAAGTTTATTAATTGCCGCAGTGTGACAATGCCATCTTGCTGCGATGTCGCTGCACAAATGACGCGCACCACGCCGTGACCAAAGATGCCCTCTAACTCAACCTTCAGTTGACGTGACATGATGTCGACATCATCGTCATACGAGGCAGAGCACAAATGCAAAAAATCCATCAGTGCCGTGTAGGCGACATCGAGGGAAGCCTGCCGCTCATTGTGCCAGGCCATTGGGTTCAAAAAAGCAAGTGTCGCCGCAAGAGCTCGGAGGTAAAACAATAATTGCGCCTTCACGTCTTGTACACCCCGTGGAAGACCAATATGCACACGTGTAAGAGGCAGTCCAGCATCATTTGCAGCAATACGACGCGCCATCTCGCGTCGCTGTTCCATTTGCAAAAGCTTCTCTACATGATTGACACTCGCAGTGCGGCGCTTGTCAAATCCATCGCGTAGAACTACGAGACGCAGCAGTGACTGTAACCCATCCGTCGTTAATGGCGTATATCCAGAGAGAAACGACAAGGGTGTGGCAGAAGAAGACTCGCCAATTTGGACAGGAGGAAAAACAGCATCGACGACGTGGCGAATGACATCTCGATCCCGCACCTCCGCCTTGTCGTGGTGACCGCTTTTCTGCCACTCCTGCAGTGTGATGCATAAAAACTGGTCAATAACCATCCCGGCCCCCGCCCCGCGAACAACAGGCACCATCACGCCGTCATCTTTCCCCTCATTGGCAGGCTGCTTCCCCTTCTCCAAATTCTTCACCCTCGACGGAGAAAATAACGCCGTCCCGGTCGTCACGTACACACGAAGCGTGTTGAATAGCGCTATCAATGGTCGCGTTGAAGAACCGAAGGGAGACGCATCCGTGACAATTTGATGCATCATCCATGACACCGCAACAGGATGACGGAGTTGACAGAGCGGGACCAATGCCGGCGTTGGTTCATGAAGGCATTTTATATATTCACGAGACCGCCACATCTCTAATGATAACGGTGGCCAGAGTGAGATCCATGGCATACCGTCACCCCTCATATATTGCCCCACCAACTCCGTAGCCAGCTTGACGTGGGCATCAAAATCAGAAGCTAAGGTTTGTTCCTTCGGCAATAGAGAAATCGCACGTGCAGCAATTTCTGCCGATGCCTGTTGAAAACGCAATTCGCTGGGATTTATGCTTGCAGAAGAACACAAAAACTCACCTACATAGGCGCCGTAAGCAAGGATCTCACCGCACAGTCTTTGCCGCAGCTTCCCTTCACCTTCCGCAGGTTGCGGAGACTTCATGGAGATGGATGCTTCACAGTTTTCAATCCGTGTAGTCACTGCCAATGCGAGAAACGCTGCGGCCAAGCAATGATGCAAAGATGTTTCCTCGTTTTTTGCATTGTTGTACTCTTTCCCACTGGACTCCGCATGCGCCTCCACACTGTGACCCATCGGCTGCATTCTCTTTCCCTTCTGTTTGTCAACCTCGACAGAACGAATAAGTAGTGTATTCCACGCGGCGAGTAATGACTGCACGCAAAGGGGCGTGTACGGTCGCTGGGATAAACGTTTCTCCAGCAGCTCCAACGCATCCTGCATGGACTGACTGCATGCAATTGAAAGCAAGAAGCTCTTTTCACTCCCTAACTTTGTCACATCACTTACCATGTCGATTGCTGCCCTCACGTACTGCAAACTGCTAAAGCCACACGGCGTGGCAAACAGCGACCCCGCTGCAATCATTCCAACAACATCGTCATCAACGTCATTTTCCCCCACTCTCATCACGCATACGTCGGGAAGAACACGCAACGCGCGGCACAAACGTGAGTATATGAAAGAACTCTTAAACGCAAACTGTTTTGCGCACATCTCCGCTACCCATGCAGTATTAAAAAGGGCGCACTGAAAACACATCACAAAAGAGGTCTCACCAGCCGTCGCATCCGCAGAGGAAGACAAAAAAGTCGGTGCACGCTCCCTATTAACAGAATAAAAGGTTGTAGAGGAGACGATGTCGGGGGATGTCACTAGTGACATGGCAGCAGCGATCATTCTCTTCTCCTCTGTCATAGTTTCATGCATCTTTTCGTTCACACTCGCCCATTTTGGAACCGTGAGGGTGACACGACTCCACAGGAGAAGTTGCCGCGCCTCCAAACAGAGCGACCGCCACGGCCAACTAAAAAAAGAAGATGATGATAAGGAAGATGACAACCAAGACGTCATGTCTGCTAATAGCTGCCGTAGCTGTTGTCGTTCTTGTAGGGTGGAACGTGTCTCTGATAATGATCCCGTCATATACGCAATTGCAATGAATTGCACCGCCCCATCGCTCGTGAAAAAAGCCTTCCAAACATCCCAACGCCTCTTCTGCTGCCTCTGTGGCTCTTGTTCTTGCGGCGTAGCATTCCCCAATATGATGCACGCGGCTGTGGACGCCTGGTGGTGGCACAGCACCACACATTGCATCAGCGGCAGTGAGGCCTCGCGTTGGAGTAAAGGAGCTATCGAAATCGTGCGAAATCGTCTGTCCAAGGAAAGATTTGCCATGACATCCAGAATTTCGTTATAATTTGAAAGAATACCGTCATTCTTTCCACCACTGACGGCAGGCCACGACGCCTGGAGAAGCAGCCTCAACACAATTCCTCCCGGCCACGGCCCGCAGCATTGAAGGACAAACGCCAGTCTACTGCGGAGCGTGAGATCCATTGAAGTCGTCTTCTGCGTTGCAGTAAGCGGACACTCAAACGCAATGGCGTATGGAAGGTCCCAGCGGTGGGGAACAAGTGTGCCTACAGCATCCATTGCCCCTACAATGTCATTCTCATCCGATGCCTCGCCGTCGCGACACGCTGCAAGAGCCGCAAAGACAGCGAATTCCACAAGTTGCTCCTCAGATCGCAGCCACTGTGCTGTCAAGGCGTCAACAGACAAAATGGGAGGAAACTCTACAAGACGTGTAATAAATCTTGTGGCAGCCGATAATGACATGCTGAAGGCGCGACGTACGGCAGCAGTGGCGTTCAAACGAGCGGACTGCATCGCAACAAGTCCTCCTACAAATCCCTCATCGTCACTCAAGACTGTCTGTAAGCCTTCCTCAAGCTGAAGTGCCGGTAAAAAGGCACGCACCAAACGTATGCTCGAGCGCGCGCCATAACGCACAATGTGTAAAAGTGTAATTGCCAAAAAAAGATCGGAAAGAGCCGCATTGCCTGCGGGTGGTGACTCCATATTCACGTCACTGCTGGTGTGAACCTTAGAAACGGCAGTGGCACCAACAAAATGGGACTCCACTGCGTCATTGTCCATTGGACCGTTCCGGAGGATTGTGCTCATGACACGAAGCACAAGAAGAGCAGTAGAGGACAGGGGTGCTGTTTTTCCAGCATTCACACATCGCTCCATCATCTCACACAAAAGACGGAGTTGACGCAGGGACTCCTTCCGCAGTGATGACTCCGGCCACGACGCACAGGTTCCCGCCAGGTTTCCAACAAGACGGATCATGAAGTGTGCATGAGGTTCATCCAGCATCCGCCTCTCCTCACTCTCGGCTGCATGTAAACGTCTCTGCATCCAGGCAGATACCAATAAAATAAAATCATGCACGTACCGCACCTCCTCGTACGCCGTTCGGCTCAACACGGTATCCACGGCAGAAGAAAGACGGTGCGCCGGATGTGCCAAGACCGCAAGTTCCGCCACGGTGTGGCAAACATGAAAACTAAAAAAAATAGTCTGAAATGCCGCAACTATCTCCATTGCATTCTCACCCAAAACCCACTCCGGTGTGGCATCCAAGGAATGCAATGCATACGCTGCTGCTGCAAGAATAACAGTGAGCGGAGGCTGCGCGTGCCAGCAATGGTGCAGTAAAAAAGCAAGCGCCTCAATAATACACGGGAGAAGTAGGCAACGTAATGACGATGACAATTTCTTTTCAGCATCATGAGGCGCAGCCCGTTCAATGGCGTGGAGAATAATGCGGTCTAATTGTGCTGTCGCCTCTCGTGTGTTCATGACATCGTTCGACATAAGAAACGTCTCAGGATTCCAACGTGGCACATCCCTCACTTCCCCCTGTACAGCTTCTCCGTCTCCCTCCTCTCTAACTGAGGGGCATGATAACGAAGATGGGAAGGCGGATGTACCTAATGTCACCTTCTCGCTCTGCAGAATTCCCAGCCAAAACAAGCAATCGACCGGCACCACAGGGCCCAACTTCTTCTCTAATTTCTGGACGTGGTGGTTTAACACGGCAATGGGATTCACCCCAGATGCTTCAGGCAATGTCTGCGACGTCGGTGAAACTGCCGCATTGAGGCACAAAGGGGGTAGTGCCCGAAGAACACCAATAAAGTCCGGAAGATTGCGTAAAATTCTTGCGTCAGTCCCCACCAAATGTTTTGTTAACACATGAAGCAAACGTTGAGCATGTCGTTGCATAACTGGCGTCGCGTCACATCTAAACTTAGGGATGCCCACCACTGCCCGTTCATCAGCCGGCGCGGATAAGCGAAACAGCACCACGCATGCATGGAGCATAAAGTTTCTTGGCGTTCCCGTAGGTTTACTCTCATAACGGATAGAGACGTCATGCATCAACAGCGTGTCTTTCAGTACGGTACATAAAATCGTAATTCCATCACTCGTCGTCACATCCTCCACTGCATCAACAACGGAAGCAACGCACAATGAAAGCAGTTGCAACATCGTTTCTTCAGGCAAAACCATGCCAATAAACCTCTCACGAAACTTTTTATATGCGGCAATGGCGCTTGCTGCATCCTGAGCGGTGGAGCAGAGACGCACAGTTTGCAACAACGCGTCTGCTTCGTTCCTGGCTTGATCCGTGTCGTACAATGCACTCTGACGAAGCAAGAGCTTCGCCGCATTCACGTTACCAGCGCAGACACCCTTCACACATTTCCATATGAGTGCAAAGTCCTCATCGTTGCTGATGGGCGTGGGCCACGCGGCAAGAGCCAAGCGCGCCACCTGATTTGCCTCGTGGAGCATAAACGCCCGCTCGTGCTCCACGGAGCCATCATCGTCGTGTTGTTCGCCTTGATGAAGTTGCCGTTGTCTCTGCCGCTTTTTCTGAAGTGCCCGCACAGCCTGTTTGACGTGCCGTTCCGACGCCACCAAGGCCGCCTGTGCAACTTCTCTGGACTTTTCTTTTCCCCTCAGTGAAATTAACACACGACGCGCAAATGAAAGCGGCCCATGTTTCACAGCAAAGGCAAAACATGCGCAGTCATGCCCAGAGAGCTGGCGTGCTTCATATGTAGTAAAGAGCTCTATGGCAGACATCCAATGTCGCCGCTGCTTAAGTGGGGCGATAAACTCGTACAAGTCGATGCGCTCACTCTCACTCAATGGGGTTCTGTTAGGCAACGCACCATTCATGCAGCCATCATCCTTCCCTCGGATTTCACCCGTGTTTGGAACTACATGGTGCATGAGTTCCACCACCTGCAAAGCCTCCCGCCAACGTGGCGGTGCGGCAGAAACCAGCAACGCATCAAGGATATGAGAAAGCGAACCATCCGTTTTGCCATCATGGAGTTGCTCACCAATCTTCGACGCGGCTGCGACACAGAGTGCGAGAGCCGCACGCCATGAAGTTGTACGGGGTTCGATAGAATGGAACAAACGGGCTGTGTAATTTACTTTTTCTTCCGTGCTAGAAAGATCACTCTCGTGCATCACCACAACGAGGGCCACACGACACGATCGCCAAGGACCTTCACATGTTTGGGCAGAAGCAACGTCCATCATGCATCTTAGCAACGGCACCACATGTCGTGGGGCAATGGAAAAAACAAATGTACGCCAAACATTGCTGGCATCCGATACAGAGAGGTTATCCTTCACACATGCCTGCAAAAGGCCACGTCCAATCTCATCCACCTCTTCCTGCCGTGCCAAGAGATTGAATAGGGCGGGAATTCGTCTCACATCATTATCGGTATTCATGCATGCATTGTCTGAGACACGGAATTGTGAACCCCGCTGGTATTCCTCGTCCCTCTTCTCATAATGTAAAGGAAAAATGGCACGGTAATTGTCCAACGGAGGAAATCGTCGACTGAGAAAATACACCAGCTCTTGCAACTGCTTCAGTGCCTCTTCACAAAAAAAGGAAGAGGAGCGCATGACACCAGAACCACCAAAACGGCGACGTCGACGACCACGACTGTGGCCCACACCACCACCGCCAGCGGTGTTTTCTTCTTTCTTCTCTGCAGAAGGCATGAGTCTCTCGTCAATTGTCGCGTTACGGCCATGAGATAAACCATCATCGAAAAACCACATTTTTAATAGGGAGGTATCGCAGAAAACACGTCGCAACAGCTCTTGCCACGAAGCAGCTATTGGCGAACGCTGCCAACCAGCCAATGTGTACGGAAAGAGAACGTTTTCCCAAAATACATCCCGTCCAGAAGCAAGTGCCGACTTTGAAGAAAGACTATAAATTTCATTGGCGTTGTTGTTCGCATTCCCCTTCTTGTCGAAAGTACCGCCGACGTATTCTTTGGGCGTCTGAGGTTGTCCTCCGTGCGACCCCCCTGTGTGGTTCAGCAACATTCTTCGCCTGTGATCCCGCACACAACAAAGGCGAATGTAAACCGTCATTAAGGTTTGAACGGTGTCCGACAAGAGAGAAAAAGGAAAGTCATCCACACCAGTTGCAGTCACCATCACCACAGAACCGTGCAGAAGTAATTTGCGTGCCAAACACTCCATTTCCTTTTGTTTCATGTCATCCCAATGAACGGGAATTTCCTTCTGCTCCAAAGCATCGTCTCTCATGCAGATTAACTGCACGGCAATACAAAGCCGTGTGAGAGTCGAAGTGTGGGTTCTCTTCTCCCTTGACTCCTCTTTCCAACAACAGAGACCGCCTTCCACCATCGCCCACTGTCGTTCACGTTGTTCCAACTCCGCCATGGCCAGCGCCTTTACCATCTCCCACTTAGGCAATTCCAGCGCTGGTTGCTTTTCAACTTCTCTCCTCCACCACGCCAAAGAAGTCCCATTATCACTGCCGTCACTTCTAGAATCACCATCACCACCACCACCACCAACAACATTATCATGTTGCTCAATTCCAAGCAGACTTGAATGTGGAAGAGTAATAATGGCACCATTAAACATACGCTGCTGCGTCCAATGAAGAATCTTCTCGGCGGCATCTGGTCGCACGGTGATGTAATCAATAGTTGCTTGAAGCACTGTGTCTACTGTTTCACCCTCCTCAACCTTTCTGATTGAATCGGTACGAGGAACGCACACATGAAGCACCGTGTACACAGCATCTTCCCAAGATGAAGTAAAACTCGCGTGCATCTGCTCCCTCAACTTCTCCCAGTGAGTGGGGTCATTTCTATCCTTCGTGAAGGATCCCTGAAAAACGGTGTCGTGAATGGCCTGCACCAAATCCGACTGGAGCACCCGCGGGGGGCGGCACGCAGGCGTTGATTTGGGAATGGGAGGAGACTTTCCGCGAAGATGCAGATCTGCAGCAAGCATGTCCCGTGTGAGCAGCAGGGCATCACTGCAGCCGGGACTCTCCTCTTTTCCAGAAAGAGTCCCACTGCTGTTGCTGCCGTTCGCAAGCTCATGCTGCCAATTTTCCACGGTCCTCAATACATCTCGTATGACTGGCGTTTCTAATCGTACACGGCGTCGCGCGGCGCGCTGCACAATGGCTGCCGCCGCCTGCCAACTCCCCATGCTCGACACCGCCTCCTGGGCAAGTGTCGCACGAAGCAGAGTGTTGTACAACCCCTCTTCTTGTGCCAGTGACACCGCCGTCCCTTTATTTCCCTTCTTCGTCTTCGTCTTGTTGTTGCTGTGAGACTCTTCCACTGCGATAAGTTGGCTACTAAGGCGCAGGACGGACTCCCACTGCCCATTAGCCACCAAAAATGGAAAGATCGTGTCGTGGGGAAGACTATGCAGCAGCGTTCCCGTCTCAGCGCAGCCGTGAAGAGCTCTGAGGACACTTCGCCAATCCCCACGATCCATGTGCTTTGAAAAGTATAACGACAATGACAAACGTAGACGATCCGCCATCTTCACTCCCAATTGTTTTCTTGTTTTGCCTTGCCACCCCCTTTTCCTCCTCTTCCCTCCTTTTTTTCCTCCCCTTTTCTTTTACCCTCCCCTCAATTCCCACCCACCGGTTTATATATATATATATTTATATTATGTGTGCTCCGTCTACCACCGCCGGTAGTTCCTGGCCGACTGCCTAAAGTATTCCAAGTTAATAGTCGTATGTGTGATAAATGTCTGTATGCACGCACGTGCGAGAGGCAGCCAGGCGGTGGTGGTGGATAAGTAAAAAAATAATAATAATATAAGTATATGTATGTATGTATCTTCTTTCAGCGTCACCTCTCCCCCTACGCTGGGAAGCACAAAAGCAACACTCAAAGAAAAACAAGAAACAAACCAACAAAAAAGAAAAAAAGGAGAAGACAAGGAGACACCATTCCAGGAACAGTAAAGAAAAAAAAAAAAAAGAAGGAAAAAGAAAAAAAAAAAAAAAAGAAAGAAAAGGAAAAAACATGGATGAAAATTCAATAAAATTAAATGCCTTCAGGCTTTTTATTCGTGTGGTGTATTTGACGACTGGCGCATCATCACGAATGCGTGGAGATGCAATTCCACACGTTAATGGATTATTTACGAAGATTATTATTGTAGACGCATGTATGCTCTGCATGTCACACGGCACCCTCCCTTCCTTTTTCTTCTTCTTCTTCTTCTTCTTCCTCTTCGCCGGCTTCTCGCCTCGCCTCACCCGAATGCCAGTTGCCGCGTAGGCACCCGCACACGCCCACAGACAGAGAAAGGGTGAACGAAAAGACATGTGTCCTGGCATTGCGGTATAGGAGACAAAGTGGTAGAGAACGATGATAAAAAAAAAAAAAAAAAAAAAAAAAAAGACATCGGGTCCCACGACATGATTAGGGAAAGCCACATCCAACGCTAAACCAACAACGGGGGCAGTGGCAACAACAACAAATAAATAAATAAATAAATAACGCCTGTGAATCATGTCACCTTCCCCTTTCTCTGGTGAAGGTTGTCTTTCCATCTCAATTCTACTCTGCGCTAAGAGACCCTGGTGGGAGTCCCTGCAACGCCTCCTTCTCCCGCAGCTCCCGGGCCCCGTTCATCAACTTCATCACCTCAAAGTGCCGCGCGATGCACTTGCGTTGACATGCCTCCATCTTGCGCAGTTTGCTATCCGGCAGATCACCCTCTACCAGCTCCTTCCGTGTAAGATTGACGTCAAAGCAAATGTTCCAGCACTTCTCTAAAACATCGTTTGCAAGATCAAGCATGGAGTAGTGCTCCATTGCATGCATCACCATCATCTGACCTTGCATGGTTTCCCGTCGCCGTTGTTACTACGCTTTTTTAAAGACACAGAAACACAGAAAGAGAGATAAAGAGAGAGAAAGAGATGTTTCCTTTGGTTTATTTTATTATTATACTACAGAGATGTCCATCCAAGCAAAGCAAAATAAAAAAAAAAAAAAATGAAAAAAAAAAAAAAAATAGGGTTATTAGGACATACACAGAATGAGTAAGCACAAAGCCACCATCCTAATCCCTCAGTAAAAAGGGGGTCCACACACACACACACACACACACACACACAAACTATGCAGAAACATATCCCACATTTCGTCAGGCTTAATAAATGCCACGTTATGTAAAAAACAAAAGCAAAAGAGTCACATATATATATATGTATATATTGCATCCAGTAAAAACACCTTCTTGTAACCCTCTCCATAACCAATCACATTCCACACAAGACGGTGACAAAATAGACGCATGTAATTTTTATTCATGTTGTCTCTCTTTCCCTCGCTTTTTCTCTCTCTTCTTCTCATTCCATTATATAGGTCGGTGTATGCGTGTGTGTTCGCCTGCGGTATTCCATTTTTATTTTTTATTTTGTGTATCTCCACAACACAAAATAACATTGACATATATAATAATAATGATAATGGTAAAAATAATAATAATAATAATAATAATAATAATGGTAAGCAAATAAGCGGATGCGGTCATCTTCCGCACTTCATTGACAGGCGTTCACAACAGACGCAATTCTTTTTCCTTTCCCCCCCCCATTTTTTTTTTTTTACTCTTCTTCCATTCCACCCAATCATCTCCTTTTTCTTCTTCTTTTTCTTCTTCTTCCCCCCCTCTTTTCTTTTGTCTCTTCTCTCTTTTTTATTTTATTTTATTGCCTGCGCATGCATCTTTGCAACAAACTCCCAGTCGATGACCGACCAGATCTCCTTCAAGTAATCCGGCCGGCGGTTTTCAAAGTCCTTGTAGTACGCATGCTCCCACACATCCACTGCGAGGACGGGGCGCAGTCCCTTCGTTAAGGGACATCCGGCGTTGCTCGTATTGTCAATAACGAGCTGATTCTTATTCGACGGGTCCACGCACAGCCACGTCCAACCCGAGCCAAAGTTATTCACCCCTGCCTGCACAAAGGCATCTTTAAACTGTTCCACCGAACCAAACTGGGCCGTAACAGCAGACTCAAGGGACTTTGGCATCGCCTTCCCATTAGGGGTGATGCAACGGAAGTAAAAGGTGTGGTTAAAATGCTGTGCGGCTTGGTTGAAAAGACCCTTCTTCTCGGCGTCATTTGCGACCGCAAGGATAATCTCCTCAATGCTCTTCCCATCGTATGTTGTCCCTGCCAGCGCATTTAATTTGTCCACATACGCCTTGTGGTGTTTGGTGTAGTGCAATTCCATCTGGCGCGGGCTGAAGACAGGGGCACATCCATCCTTCCAGTTAAACCCCAACTTGGGCAACTCGGCCGGGGCGCCACTTGGTTTTAAAAGGTCAGGCAGCGTCGCGTAGCTCATCAACGCCATGCGCCCTCTGGCAATGGATATATTCACCGCACGTCTCAACATGGGATTATAAATCGCTTCACTTGTTTATATGTAAAACGTATAATATGTTATCTCCTCTTTCTATATCTTTTTCTCTCTTACTCTATTTATACATGTAAGTACGCATGTAGAAATAATTGGGCAAAGGGACAAGGTACAGATAGAGATACACCCACATGCGCAATCTGTTTGTCACTGCACATTGGAATACAGCCATGCATCATAAAACAGTGAAAAGCAACACACACACACAGAAAAAAAAAAAAAAAAAAAACAATTAGGGGGAACTAAGTTCTTTCACAATTGAAGGGCAAAACCAAAAATTCAAAAAAGAAAAAAATATGAATTCGACACCTAACGCAGATACACAGTGTAAGAAAAGGACAGAGCGCGTGTACTTAACGATAGACGGGATCACGATTTGCCCAGCTATATGTTTTGGACTTAATATCTGCAACCGTCTGACTCTTGTTATACTGCCGTCCACGGAGAATGTAGCCAGAAAGCCAGTACTTCGTCTTAACGCAGTTCCGTGGATGAATGCGCCAGTCCAACGGCACAAGAAGATTGGCCGACCCTCCATTGCCACCACCCGCAGGATGACTCGAGACGCGCTTCGTCTTCGAGTGT